TTTTTTTCCTAAAGTGGCTCTTTTGTCTGGTGAACGAAGGCCGTTTTGGCCGCAGCGCTGCCACCACCACCAGGTAGATGATTTAGTAGTCCACATGCATTTCTGCATCGACTGCTGGGTGCTCTTCTTCATCTGTCTCCTGGCTGCTTGGTGGACTCGCAGTCTGAGGCGTGGCTGCTCTTGTTGGTTGAGCATCTGTTGTGCTCTGTGGCCTGGGTCCTGCCGCTTGGCTGGGTGTCATCGCCTGTGTAGGATTTTGCTCATCCTCCCGCTCAGTGAGTGGCGTGGAGAAATGCAGCCGTTTCGGTCTGGGCCTGGCTGTGGACATTGGTGTGTCTTGTGCTGCTTGTGTCCCCCCTTCACTTGTGCCTCCTGGTTGTGTTGGAGGTGTGGTTTTGAAGAAGGTGTGGATCGGTGGGGATCCTTTGGTGCCGGCCCCTTTGCACTCTTTCAAGAAGTTCGGGGTGCTGATGACTCTCTGCTGACTGTCCAAGTGAAGTTGCAGTCCACAGAGGGTGCCAGAGCTGGTGAGTGGGATGGCCTGTGTGTGGGCCTGCGAAAGGACAGTCCAGGCAAGGACTGTTGATGTACTCGGTGAAGGCCTTTTCATTGATCCTCTTGTGGATACTGGTGCCACATTTGGTGCACTTTAGATATCCTCTGGTCTCTTCAAAGCAGTGCTGGTCTTTGTCCGGTTCGCGGCCTTCTTGTGCCTGTAGGATGTTCTTGATGGTCTGGATCCTTGTGGGTTTTCTGTCTGGCTGTGGTGCCTGAGGTCCTGGGCTTGGACATGCTTGGTCTGCTTGGAGCTGAGTGCACTGCTCTGCAAGTCTGTCTTCGAGGACTTGTGCTGTCAGACCCTGATGCATCCTTGCCCCGCAAGCTGTGCATTCGTAGCCGCTCCTGTGGGGTGCCCATCTGTGAAGTGGGCTTTGCCAGGGCTTGGTACACTGCTGTACGAGGTCCTTTTTCCTTTGCTTAGTGTGCTTGCCTTGCTGTCTGGTCGTTTTGTGGTGAATGAAGTGTTGTTTGTCATCAAAGATCTTCTCAAGTCTTTGGACAGCATGGGTGTAGATGTTCCTGTGGTCTTGGTCCAGGGTCTTCCATTCTGTGAGTCTTCGATCATGGAGGGCATCAGCTCGTTCCCAGGCTGTGAGTGCTGCGTCTCGTTGCCTCCTGCGGAGTTGGGGCTCACTGCCGGGTGCGTCAGGTGTCCTGGTGTTTCTGCTGATGTAGAGCACTGTGACGCGGCTCCTGTCTTGGTCGGTGATCTCATCAAGGAGGTCTGGGTATGGGTGGTGATGAGGTTGCTTGTTCCATGCCTCCGAAACTGAGCTGAGTTGGACAATCACCTTGACCGGGTTTGTCGTGTGTTTGGCCAGTGCTACTAAGCCAGCAAACAAAGCTCTGGCTTTTGTTTGCAGCCCCTGAGGGATTCCTGTGATGGCTCCCAGCCGCTTTAGCTGCCCCATAGATTGAGTGTGTATGCACAGGCCGAAAACCCACGCCTGGCTGCGGCTTTCGTAGTGGGATGGTGTGGCATCTAAAGTGAAAGCCCACCCAACATATTGTTCTGGCCCAATGGGTTGTAGCCTTGACACGGATGTCTCTGGTGCAAGTGTTCTTGTGGTTCGAGTGGTATCCAGCCCTTGGACCACAGGGGCTCTTCTTCTTGGCAGGTTATGCGTTCCATCCATGCTGGTGGAAGGGGCTTGTGATTTTGGTCCCTGTGCCATTTGCATAACCATAGGATATGCTTCGGTGTTGCAGGGACGTGGCAGATGGGACAGGGTTTCGTCGACTCCGCCTCCCTGAACTGCAAAGCCCCTTACACCCATGTTTGCAAATGCCGCCGCTGTTGCTCCGGGAGTTTGGTCTTGAGCTGCCTGAAGGTGCGCCAGTCCAGGCCTGTGAGCAGGTGTTGGTGGTTTGGCCTCTTTGCAAATCTGCTGATGCGCTGCTGTTGTGCTTCTTTGTACAGGAGATGCTCAAGCTTCCACCATGGGTCTGCCATCTGGATCTCATTGCTGAGCAGGAATTGGTTCTCGGGGCGGCTCCAGTGCATGAGGTGCTGTGCATCCCACCCCCATTCTGTTAGGTAGGCAATGGTGGCTGCCATGGGCCCCCTGACAGCGTACCAGGGATATTGTTTGTTTGTGAGACTCTCATGCGTGGCCTGTTCCAGCTGTTGTAGTTGATCAGGAGGCCAGGTGTGGATAAGCTGGTGCATGGCCTTGATGTGGTGTACTATGACTTGCAAGCAGGGT